ATAGCTTTTATACTTTTTTTAAAGAAGTATATATATTTTTTAAAAAATAGTAAAAGATATAGAGCCAAGTTAACTGCTGATTTTCTTGTCAGTAGGTAATAAACTCTAAACTTGTTAGCAAGTAGTATATAAAAACTATATACTTCTAAATAACAAATGCTATTCTTACAGTAAGTAATAAGCTCTAAGTCTGTTAGCAGATAATATATGAAAACTATCTCTAAATAACAGGTACCAATTTATAGTTTTTATTAGTTTTATACTTCTCTTCTCTACTATAATCTACTGTTTTTTAGAAAAAAAAAATTTGTTGTGTTTTTGGTATAAGAGATTATTAGAAAAAGTTGTAAAAGGCTAATTATTTATATATACTACAATAAATATATTTATATTTTAAAAATTTAGTAAAATTAGTAAGAGATTGAAATTTTAATAAATTTTTTTATTATACTAAAGAGCCTGGTCAAACTGGATTGTATGCCAGTTTTGTAAAGATTTGACTATAATATTATACTATTGTATAGTAATATCTTGATGTTTTTTAGAAGCAGGTTATGTTAAAATAAAAATATTTTTATATAACAATTTGTTTGTTTTAGTGTCTAATTAGATAGTATTATTTGAGGTGATTTTTATCAAGATATTTTCTTTTTGTAATTCTATTTCTTTATTGGCTATATTTGTAAATACTAGAAATTGTTTTAGAATATTTTGTAATATTAGTATGTTTTGATTTATATAAGAATTTTCTATAAATTTGTTTTGATCTGTATAAGAATTTTCTATATATATATAATCAATTTGTATATATATCTGAGACCTTGGTTATTTTTAACTATGTTAGCACAGATATGGCTATAGATATAAAAAATTCCTATTGTATTGTTGTTATGTTAAAAGAGAATATTGTTTTTGTGTTTTAAGATAGTGGGCTTGTGTATTTATATTTAGTTGTAGCTTCTGATAAGAAGTTAGGTATTGAATATTGTGTTTTAGTTTATTTAAGTAGGTGTGTTAAACTAGGCTGCATTGTAGTATTGTTAGTATTAGTCTTGGTATTGTACAGTATAAACTTGTAACTTCCTACATAAAATTCATTTTAAATTATGTTTTTGCTACAAAGAGCAATAAAAAAAATATGGGTGTGTTGAGTGTATTCCTTGCTCTTTTGGTTATCTTGACTGGGTTTAGCTCAAGATAAACTAGTGTATTTCAGGTGGAGCTATTGCACTGATTAAAACAGTTACTTATTTAACTTTTTGTTTACTTAGTGATTTGTAGGAGTATAGGAAAGAGTTCCATAAATTTATTGTGGCAAATTATAATAAAATCCAGATTAAAATGAAATTATAGTATAAAATCTCGAAAAATAAAAATTTTTTAGTGTATTTTTTAGGGTTAGGGGTGTTAGGGTTAGAGTATTTTATATTAAACAAGTATAAGTGGGTTTTAGAAGGTTAGAAAGTTACATAGAAAATATAGATTTTATTTTAAATTATGATTTGCTACAGTAATTTTTCATCGATTAAGACCTTTACAGTATAATCTATAAAATCAAAAAAAATAGAATTATTTTTATTAGAAGCTTTTTTTAATACTGCTTGTTCTTCTGGGCTAAGATTAATAAGTATAATATTTAAAAAAGTTAAAGTAATGCTTTTTGTGAAGGGCTTCTATTAATGCTTCTCCACCTTCAAAACTAATTTTATTTCCTTCAAGATTTAATAAAGTTAATGTGGTGTTGTTGTAAAGAGCTCTTTTCCTTATTCAGGTCAAATTTATTATAACTAAGGTCTAAAGAAGTTAGGGGGTGTTTTTGTAAAGAGCTTTTGCTAATGATTTTCCATCATTATGGTCCAATTCATTCTGCCGCAAATTTAAGAATTCAAAGTAGTGTTTTGGCAAAGAGCTTCTGTCGCTTCGGAATTAAGTTGACTTTGCCCAAGATTCAATACGGTTAATGTAATATTTTTATTCAAAGTTTCTGTTAATGCTTTTCCTAATTCAAAAAAGGAAACTCCATTGAGATTTACAGCTAATACGTATAATTTTTCCTTTTAAATTAAGAAAGCATCGTTCTAGACTAAAGAAGGTTATAGAAGCATTTTCGAAAAAGCTTCCAATAATAAATTTCCATCCTCATGATTAAGTTTGTTATATTGGATATCGAAAGATGTTAAAGTGGTATTTTTGTAAAGAGCCTCCGCTAGTACTTTTCCTCCTTCTAAACCAAAGTTTACTATATCCAAATTCTAAAGAATTTAAAGTGGTATTTTTGTAAAGAGCCTCTGCTAGTGCCTTTTATCCTTCGAATCCAAATTCGTTTTCACCAATAACTAAGGAAGTCAATGTTGTATTTTTGCAAAGGGCTTCATTAGATTTAATGTCTAACAACGTTAAAATGGTATCTTTACAAAGAGACTTTGCTATTATTGCTTGTCCTCCTTTAGAACTAAGATTATATGAACTATCTAAATAAGCCAATGTGGTGTTTTTGCAAAGAGTCTTCCTCCATCAGAACCGAAATTGTTAGATTTAATGTCCAAATAAGTCAGAGAGGTGTTCTTGCAAAGAACTTCTGCTAATGTTTTCCTCCTTCAGAACCAAGTTTACATTGACTCAGAATTAAAGAAGTCAGGGCAGTATTCATGCAAAGAATTTTCGCTAACGCTTCTATTTCCTTGGAACCAAATAAACTAATATCAAGGTTCAAATGAGTCAAGTAGTATTTTTGCAAAGAGCCTCTGTTAGTGTCTCTTCTTTTCAAGTTTAATCGAGGTATAACTTATAACCAAAGAAGTCGGAATAGTATTTTTACAAGAACTTTTGCTACCTTCGAGATCAATACTTCTAAAACTTAGATCACAGTTTGAAGCATTTTCTTCACCATTATGCTGACTATTATTAAGAATTTCTTCGTAAATTTCTAATGCTTTGACGAATTTGGTACCAAATAAACATTCACTCGCTTCCTTTCTTTTATTCACAAGTATATGATCATCCTGGATCGAAACTTGTTGATCTAAAGTATTATCATCCTTGATTGAAAAATCAACGTTGATTGTGTTATATATATAAAACGGTGACGATGTTGTGATTTCAAGTAAATCTAAATGTATTGTTATACAATCTTGCTGATTTAAAGATGAAGTTTCATTATTTTGAACAGATATCGTTATGAATAGGTTAATTTAAAGATTCATTAGGAATAATTTGATTTAAAGTTGAAAGAATTGAACTTGTTTCCGGACGAAAATCATGACTCTTATCTCAACATTGATTGTAAAGTTCAATATATTGAGATGGAGTACCTTTTATTGGTTTTTCTCTATTTCCTAAGATATGAATAAAGTTCATCTCTTGAACAAATGATTTACCACTTGAAATTTCCCAAAGTATTACTACTCCAAAGCTATAAATATCAGATTTCTTATTGCGTTTATATTTATGGTTAGTAAGACATAGAGGTTCTATGTATGCTGGCATTCCTTTAGCAGTCGAGTTTGAAGTCATTGAGTTTAATGTATGATTTATCTGTTTTGACAGACCAAAATCTGCAATTTTTGGTTGTCCTATTCTTTGAATGCTAAAAAAAAAAAATTACGGGTATATTATAAATGTATTTATGCATATATATATATTAGATTTATACCGTATAAATACTTCCAAGTTATCATGTAAGAAAATAAGACCATGTAATATTTCCTTAGCGAGGTTTCCTTTATTTGGCCTTGTAATTTTACAAAAATTTTTTCTAGATATTCTCGTAAATTTCCATCACTAGCAAATTGTAAAACCATATTATAGTGTCCATCATAATATATTATAAAAAGAATTTAAAATTAATATATTCTCTTTTTTTTTTTTTATTATTTTTTAATGGTTTAAAAAATACCTTTAGAAATTCCATAAAATGTAATAATATTTGGATGATAACAAACTTTTCTTAATAACTTTAACTTTATTAAATATAATTAATTCAAATTAATATTTAATACTGTATCAGGGTTGTGAGATTACATAGTCTAATAAATAAATTCTTTTATAACCTCTTTATTTGGATTTGTATCGACCCTAAGACATTTAAGAGCGACAATTAATCCACAATCTTTCCATTCGAACTTAGAAACTGTTCCAAAACCTCCAGTACCGATTGCTCCCACTATACATAAGCTTATCATATTCAAGATGATCTCTCGGAATTAATATGCCCTTCGGATATAGCATTTTTGAGCCACTCTTCTGAAGCACTCGCCATAATTATTATTAAGAATGCTACTGGATATGTACGTAATACGAAATGTAAATTATTATACAAAAAAATCAGGTACGTACGTACGTATAATACCGGGAATTTTACATTTATAAGCAGCGATTTACTTATCGATATATTTAAAACTATATAATTATATACTGTATATGTAAATAACTTAAAAATAGCAAGATGGAGATGGACCGAGATTTTTTTATCATTGTGTTCACACACATCTCTTTTAAGAAAGTCGAAATGAACAAATAAAAGATATTTTTGATGTTGAATTCTCGGGTGAAACATTACACCTTTAACAAAAACAAATAGCAAAAGATAAAATAATTGTGAAACTTGAAAAGTTCCAAATGAATTTATTACGCTCGCAAATAATTACTGATGTATAATATCAAAATTTATAATTCAAGTATAAAAAAATAAATGACAAATTGGTTTACTTATATATAAACGCACTAAAAAATCTACATGAAGTAAAATTGTCTATTTATATATAATTATGAAGTGCAAAGTGCACAGCAAAACAATAATAAAAATTAAAAAAGAAAACAATAAGACAAAAAAGGGAATATATTAACATACATATACATTATGAACGACCGAGCGAACATAATGAATATTTAATTAGCGAAAGGTTTTTACGTTCAAATGTAGTTATTACTATTCGATTTTTTTTTTCTTTTTTTTTTGTTTTTTTTTTATTTTATTTATTTATTTTTTTTTTAAAAAAAATTCAGGCATTTCCACCGCGTCGACTACGAGTAGTAGCAGCAGAAGCGGTTTTAGATTGAGATGTTGATGCAGCGCCATTAGCAGCAGCTCCTCGTTTAGTTCTTGTTCTCTTCGTTGTAGTGGCCGAATCATTTTGTTCAGTATTAGTTCCAAGATCATCAGCCGGTGGATTGAAAACATCTTCCTCATTAGCTTTTTTAGAGGAAGCACGTGTTCTTTTTGCCGCAGGAGCTTCGTCATCTTGTTTCGAGACGTCAGCTGAGTCATCTTCAGTAGAGGTACGTTTATTTAAATTAGAAGTTGAACCTGAAATAGCTTCAACTGATGTTGCTAATGCCGCAGCAAGCGCATCTTGCTGTTCTCCTGTTTGGAATGCACCAATGAAAGATTCGAACAAGGCAGAATTTTCTGTTTCCGATGGTGGTACGGAAATAGGCATTGTGCTAACATCGCCTTGAATTGCACCAACAGAAGTTGCGGAAATAGGACCCAAATTAGGAACGTAAACATTTGGTGCATTAGAAACAAGTTTAGCCGAGGCACCATGATCCCCATTATCTTCATTAGAAGATGTTTCAGGGGGTGATTCTACGTGACCATGTGTTGCCCTATATACACGAAGTTCTTCATCGTATCGTTCTTTATCAGCGAAATAACGGTCTTCATAAACCTATTAATTTATTAAATTTAAATTAAATAAATAAGATTTGTGATGAAATAATTAATAAAATGAATAATTAAATACCTTTTTTTGTTCTCTTGACAAAGCTTTCCATTTTTGACCTATGAGAGTTACGATTTCTTTTTGGTTTGCATTTGGGTTATCAGCTTTTGTCTCAGCGCGAATTTCATTACTAAACAAGATGTAAGCTGTGTTTGGGCGTTTTGGAGCATTTGGATCCTTTATCTGAGACTTTTTAAATTTTCTTGATGGGTGTAAAGAGTGGCCGGATCCACTCATGTGACTATCGCTAGGAACAATGCCTACATCTCTTGGGATTAACGATTGAAATTCATCACAAGCTTTTGCAGCGAATCTAAGTGCTTGAGCGATTTGATCATATGCGTTCACAAGCTTAAATTATAAATTAATAAATTTGAAATCCTAATAAGTTATTTTTAGGTTGAACAAACGCGAACAAGAAACACATACAACATCTCTTTTAGCATTTAATTGACGCAAGAGTTCAGGGTCAACGAGGTGGTCTGGTTGAGTTCCAAACTGCGTTGGGCGCGTGTCACTAGGCATTTTGCTTTAAAGGTTATTATCGTTTTGTTGATTATGAGAATAAGACACGCAGTAATTCAGAGGATTTTTTTTCCTGATTGACATGAAATAAAATAAATGAATTAATGAAATTATTTAGAAAATAAAAAGCGTTGTTAAAAGGAAATAAATGAGCGGGAATACATTATTATTATTATTATTATAAAAGAGTGTCATAAATAATTTTAAGTAAAAATTTTGGTTTGATGCCAAATTAACCGAGTCATTGAAAGTCGAAGGATATTTCTTTCAAGGTAGGGAAGAAGTATACCTTTGTATGATGAAAACACAAAACTTCAAACTTTCGAAATAAGCTGTAAAAATATGGTTAAAAAAGTACAAAGTTGTCAACTATCAATAAATATAAATAGAAGACGCGAATGTACACAAAATAAGTAGTTGCTTTATCAGTTATTTCGTTTTTTTTTTTTTTTTAGTTTCAACTCTGGTCAAAAAGTCAAGTAATTTAAGACGAAGAAACCTGGGCGGTAAATTGTTGACTTAAATTCAAATGTAGGCTGAGGTCAAACAGCCTAGGGGAATAGGGGATCTGTAAGACAAAAAAAAATCTGACAAATCAGATTTAATAAGAGAAAATTATTGTATTATCCGGCCAAAATTAAGTTTATATGCGCCAATGAGATAAATAGACTTAAGCCGGGATTGGAGCCGATATCATAGTTATACAATATCCTAAGTACGTAAGTACGTGCATCTTACGTATTCTATACACTAACTAACCAACCCTTTTTAACATCTTTGACCCAAGAATGGGAATATTTCATGTTAATTAAAAAAGTAGATGTAAAAATAGCAGAAATATAAATATCATCAAATATCATCGGTCAATTGTCCCTGTTGCCCCTTGCTTAGACCTTAAGTGATCTGATCATTGAATATCCGGTGATTGTTAATATCTTATAATACATCATATCGATATTTAGGGAAGTACAAATATCTAACCTCCTAGTTTCAACAGTTATTTTATCTTTCTCGTATGTATATAGTTTTATTTTGAGTGTATTCTCGATTTCTACCTTTTTTTATACAAGAAAAAAAACCAAAAGCACGCAAGATATAGAAAAAAATCAAAATATATATAAGAATTCTTTCATTGTTATAATGACCGTATGATTCAGTAAAGATCATAAGTTTTACATGTACAAATTACGATTTTCGTTTTCATCTTTTCACCCCCCTCTTGGACTTTTAAAGTTAAAATTGAGATTACCTGTACAAGCAAAAGCATCATTAAATTGAAACAACGTAATAAAAAAAAGTTTAGTCTGTGTGGTAGCTTTGAAAATACACTCTCAAAAGTTTGAGGAAGTTTGAGAAAGTTTGAGAAAAGTTTGAGGAAAGTTTGAGGAAAGTAAGAAAAGTAGATAGCCTAAAAAAAAATTTATAGATACATGGAGAACATACAAGAGATCTTAAAAGCAGCAACAGAATATTTGTCACTGGGAAATGTTAAGGTGATTCATACTTTGCTTTTTAAACTGTATGAAATAACCGATCATATCATTTGTTTGGCCTTGCATCTAACTTTTCTTTTCAATGACGATTCATTTAGGATGCATACTTTGCTTATATGAATGCACTTGAAGTAGCTTCAAAAGAGTTGAATAACATTAAATTTGTAAATAATGGTAAGACTGAACATTACTAAATCTGTTAAATCTACTATATCAATTAAAATATCAAATATAGTTTGCTTTGCAAGCATTATTTAAAAATATTTTTCTATTGGATTTAGTCGTGGCATCAAAACCTGTGTCATATTCTTCGCTCTTTACAATATCTCGGACGTGCTTATCATATGCCGAAGATATAATTACCAAAAATCAAACTGCTCCTACATCATCAAGAAAAAATCCAAATCTTAACATAGCCATATATCCTCCTACACCACAACAAGCAGAACATCCTCTTGATCCACAAAATAAAGCTCCTCCAATACCTCCAAAGCCAACTCGCAGGTCTGCAAGGTTGAGCGATGGCGGTTCATCTCAAAACTCACCAAAAAGCGATCAACCAACTTCTCCGATTACGAAACCACCTCTACCTCCGAAGCCTGTTCGTAGACCAAGTATGAAAAGGAACTCTGGTGATGTTGAAGTTTCAGCTGATAGTAACGATACACATGCTGTTTGTGATGACGACAGTTCGGACTCCGATGATGAAGATGACAGTTATATACGTGGACGTGGTAATGAATATCACTATGTGTATCATGTGAAATAATGTTGTGTTTACATCTTAAAATTCTTATCTGTTTGAAATTTATTTTTTATAGGATCTTTTCATCGTAGATCTGACCCATCTTTAAACTCTTCCCATACATTGCATCGGAGAAGATCTTCGTCCCCCAGTGTCGCTGTTTCTGCTTCAAAGAGAAGATCAACAATAAATGGTTCGATAACTGACTCTCCTACAGATGAAGAGAGTCCTTATTCTTCTCATTTGACTTCACCTGCTACTCCTGCGTCTTTTTACGGTTCATTATCTGTTCCATCAACATTACCAAATTTATTTGAACGTCCAAAAATGATCAATGTTATACCGGAAGGTGCTGTAGATCCAAATAACTTGGTGCCGGCTACAACTCTTATTGAAGATAATACTCCAAGTTCTCCTTCTTCTTCTCAATATGTGGATCATGTTCCAGATATTCCTTCTTCTCCTTTATTAACTCAACATGCTCAATTGGAACAAAAAATACAGACTTTGGAATCAAAATTAGCAGAGTATCGTGCGATAACGAAAATGAGGGAGGAGGGTCATACCGATGATAAAGATCGACAAGGATCTGAATTGTCAGATGAAGAAATCAAGGAAGCTATCGGAAAGTACAGTTCAACAGTGGCCAGTTTTAAACAATCAATAACGAGATCTCGTAAACTTGTGTATAAAGCGGCTTCCGATCCAGATATTTTGGAGTTTGCCCCTCATTTGATAGCTTATCAATTAACTCTTATAGAATCCGCTATCTTTTTGGAAATTGATCCATATGCATTACTTTCTCATTCTGCTAAAAATCCGGATCCAAAAATTACTGCTTCAACTGACTTTTTCAATTATTTGACCCGTATTATAGAACGTTCTATTTTATTACCATCAGAAGCTTCTTTACGTGCTCAAATAATAAATCATTGGGTTAAAGTGGCTGGAAAATTGCATGAACTACATAATTTTCAGACTTTAAAAGCGGTTCTATCCGCGTTAGGTACTACCCCTATCAAAAGACTAAAAAGAACTTGGGCTTGTATTCCAAAAAAAAGTATGGTTAAATTGGAAACTCTTAATGAAATGATGAGTGAAGCAAGGAATTATGGTAAATATCGAGAAACGATACAACGTGATGGATTCTTGAGAAAACCTACTATACCATTTTTAGGTACCTTTATTATGGATGCTACTTACCTTCTTGCCGCTATAAAATGTTCTTCAAATTCTTCTTCCATTCCATTGTCTAATAACGTTCAATCTCCTGTC